GTAAAACCTTACTGAAAAGGACGCCAAATTTTAAAAACATGAGTATTGAAGAAAATAACTTAAAATTAATAATCAGAATAATCATCCAAAAGTGAATACATCAGATGGTCCATATTTTCTCTTTTTGTTTTTTGACGACAAATATTAATTTTTCCTTTAGTTTTTAAGTTGATCATTTTCTTTATTTTTGTTCTGACGCGCGAACATTGTATCAATACATTTTTCAACCTCGTTAGCCCTGCCAATTAAATGTCAAAATTACAATATGCACATTTCTCCTAGGCCAAATCAATGTAGCTAAAATAAGCCGAAATGTGCACCACTCAGGGCCATTTTTTCCCGAGAGAGCTGCAAGTTTTCTAGTTTTTAGAGTACGGTAACGCGTTGTAGCAGAATTAGTACTAATTTGTAGGTTCTGGAACATAACTGTAATGTCAACATTCATTGAAACTGCTATCAAACGATAAGGGTTTTACATATGTAGTGTCAAATTTTTGATATGTAGAAGTTGTACATATCATGGTAGAAGAATATAGGTAGACGCGTCGACACAGCTGCTGGGACAATGAACTGTCAAACCAATTTTGGAATTGAAAATGTTGAATGAAAAATTAGTTAAATTTGTAAAATTTGTTGAAAAATGCGAATTATAATAGCCTCCGAATGACGTAGTATAAGAAAACATATGAAAATCTACTTATATTTGAAAAAACATTAAAATTTTTTTGTCATATCAATGCTCCCAAGCGTTGATGCATCTACCTGTATTCTTCTGCCATGGTACATATAGTATGATACATGGACAATATTTTAGCTGTGAAATACATGAGTAATAAAAATATGTTCTTTTTCGATCACAGCGAGACCTATTTTATCGAAAAAAATATAATTAATGCATCGACGCAGCTGCTGGGACAATGAACTGTCAAATCAATTTTGGAATTGGAAATTTTATATGAAAAATGATTTAAATTCGTAAAAATTGTTGAAAAATGCATATCAGTACAACCTCCGAGCTTTACTCTCTGTTGGATATTTGTTTATCTTTTTCCTGTGATTTCAATCACAATACTGCATTTTGACATTAAATTTAATAACCAGCTGGCTTGGGAGGGGAGTTGGTCCATGATTGCAACATTTGTGTAAATTGATATGTGAAATATATTTTGAAGAAAGTAATTGGTGTTTAAATGTCTTCCGATACATTCTGTAGTTATAAAAAAATACGTTGCTTACTATTTAGCACAAAAATTTTATTAAAAAAATGACTGTTCTTAGTACCATTATTTTTCATTGTATTGTTGATGCGGCTATCTTAACTTCTTTATCATTATTGTACTTATATTTCATTTAAACTTTAGATTGACTTGCTTAGCGAGTAGCCGACTCATAACAATTTGTACCAGCATTTTCTCCCAAGTCTTGCTAGTTCCCTGCACCATTGGACACTTTCAAACTACATTATGTTTACACTATCATAATTTTTGTTGCTGGCCATGATTATTATTTTAAACCACACTTAACTATGCAAAATTCTTAAATAAATGTGTGTGTATAGTTGTGTCGTTGGAGCTAGGAAAATTTCTCGTGTACTTGAATATTTCTTTGTTTTTTTTTTTTTCTTACAGCCAAAATTACGACATTTGCGTGTCAATTACCAACACCAAAAAGAAACAACAATAACAACGTAATCACGTTTATAATAGAAAATATGGGTACACATTAAAATTTCCAAAAACAAGCATAACGCCATATCGACAAATTGCCAGCTCTCTTTGCTTGTGTCATAATTGCAATTGCTATTAGTTTTTGGTTAAATTGAATTTTCCCAAATAAGGTGATTTATTTTTAAATTATTAGTAGCTATTCCAAATAAAGGTGCCGTTGGTGCTTAAGCATTTGATATGCAAAAGTATTTAAATGTTTTTTATTTCGTTTTTGGTTATTTTTTTGCATAAGGTTGCCAATATTAGTGAAAGGGTAATTTCTTTTCTTTTAAATTGCCGAAGTGGGCATTTGGAAAAAATCGCAATGTTTTGCAAGCGTTCAAGTTTCTCTGCACTGAATGGTTGTGATAATGAGCGGCCATTGTTAATTACGTGTTTAAGAGTTCATATAAATTTAAATATTATTTCTTATTCGGCGTTTAAAGTTCGTTTACAAATAAAATCGTTAACTCTTACTACTGACCAATCACAATAAATCTGACTTTAGAAAACATACATTACACTCTTTACACAAGATAAATTTCATGGTAGAATAATACAGGTAGATGCATCAACGCTTGGGAACATTGATATGTCAACATTTTTAATGATAAGTAGAAAGTAGATTTTAATATGTTTTCTTATCAGATTTTACAAATTTTAATAATTGTTCATTCAAAAATTTCAATTTCAAAATTGGTTTGACAGTTCATTGTCCCAACAGCTGTGACGATGCGAGTACCTGTACTCTACTACCATGCCAAATTTTCTTGAATCAGAGTTGCATTTTACTACAACATAAACACGACAACGATTTTTGACATTGCGAACAAATTAAGAAGAAAAACAACCAAATATTTCCTAAACAAGAGAACAGAATAAAGGATCTATCAGACGGAATATTTCTTGCATATGTAATGTCAAATTTGCTATGTGTAGACGTAGCACATATCGTGTGATACATAAACGAAATTTCATTTGCGAAATAGTAAAAGTACATGCGTACTTTTTCGATCATAGAGAGCTCTATGTTGATCGGGAAAATATAATTTAATCAAAAGTGTTTGTTTGTTGTTTATTATTAAATTAAATTTGTGGAATAAATTCATGCATAAAGCATTGTATTTTTTATAAAATACAGTACAATCACAATGTATGTAAAAAAACATATGCAATGTCTAAAACATATGCAAGTGTATGATAGCAAAAATATGCAATATGTCAATTTTGACATACACACGGAAACACACATAGATAATAAAAGTGACAGCACATATATAAAACCCATTCCGTCTGATTTCTTTATGTGTTTAAGCTTAAGGCAAGATAAAAGATCGTCTTCCTAAGATATGGAACATATAATTGTTGTTACATTTTTGCAATATATGCCACTCGTCATACGTAAATATTCCAGATATAAAAATACTCCAGAAAAGAGTTGCCATATTTGATTTAGCAAATAAGTCTAACGTTATTGTTTTTCCATGTCTTTTCTTCTTCTATTCATTTTTTATAATAAAGCCAGCAATGAAAGGTCATAATTTCATTACTCTATCAAATTAATACATTTTTTATGCTTCTTCTTATTCGGAGAAAATTTGTAGACAAAGTGTTAACAATTGTTCTGTCCCAGAGCCGGTAAGAATCTATTAGTTTATTGATTTTTTTTTTCGTTATCGTAGTAAATATTTTTACATTCTTGTAGTACTGGAACATAGCAAATGTTTCATAATGTGTAGACAAAAGCGGTGACATGGAGACATGTAACCCAGCCTTCGTACAATACAGTTAGAGAGTCCCACTACAGTAGTGTGCATGTTTATCTTAACATATTTGTATTTCATTTCTGAGATATATACTGTTAAAAAAGAGCGAGTTTATAACATTCTTCCAAAAACATTATTTCTTTTTGCCTCAAAGCCATTTTACTTGTGAATTACATGGTCAACCTTTCGTTGTATGTTTTTGTTTTTTTTTTTTACAAAAATTCTCAGCCCAAATATTGGCAGAAAAACCCCCAAAGAGAGAAAGTTCAATGATCGTGATATTGCCATGAACTTTCTTAAACTTGCCACTTAATATATTCCAGTTATTCATTCATAGCCATAAACGTAGCAAAAACCAAAAAAAGCCACAAAAACAAATATTCAACTTGATAATGACTTGGTAATGATGTTTGGCTGGTCGGTTGAGCCGCCCTATCGTCGTATTTTTGTTTACTAACATTGTAAAAAGTTCAGGTTGCGTTACTTTCTAAAGGTTTTTTTCTTGCAAAAAAAGAAACACGAATTATTATTGCCTACGTTGTCTGATAATGGCTTGGGGCATTAAACATGCCAGCTTGAAAAAAAGGTTTACAAAATGTTGGTGGGAAATTAAAAAAAAATGAGAAACCCGTTCTTTGGTCAAATTTTTAAAACAGATCTATTTTTTAGATAAATTTTAACAGGAAAACACATGTTCCAAACTAAATTGGGCTAACATTTCTGGATTCGAATGAAAAAAACTAACCTAACTTGTTAGCCTGGGGCTGGATTCTTGTTCTATGAAAATATGAAATGAAAAATATTTTCTTTATAAAATTTTTCATTTGATATTTCATTCCTTTATGAAAGTTTTCATTTCACATTTTCATAGAACAAGAATTGAGACCCTGTTCTCTTATCGGAATATGGAGGATTTGTCACGATTTACTTCACAGACATTACAGGTTTTAAGTCCCTACAGCAAAAAGAAAATGATGACATCGTTCCCGTGTTAATGATGACATCGTTCGTGTTAAAAAAATAATTTACTAACAAGTAATTATCTCAAAAATACTATTTTGAAAAATTAAAAACTATTATTATAATTCAATTCTTTGCTTATTAAAAATATATCCGTTTTGTAATAAATTTGTTTTCTGTTTAATTCATAACCTAATGACCGGCAAATCACCAATTTGACCATTGCCCTCACTGTTCTATTTATAAACTCTTTTTCTCGGTATACAAATGTTTGAAAAGTGTGTCATACTTACCCCTAAACGTGTTCCTATCCCCTAGCAACCTTTCCAGGTGACCGCAGTAATTGTGTTCCCAATCTCTGGACACGCAACAAAACTTAAATTATTGGGTTAACAAATTCAGTTTAAGGTGGGTGCAACAAGGGCTCATTATGTATTCCGTTGGATCAATATTTGAAAAATTAAAAAAAAAAATAGTCTAACAAATGAAACAAGACAAATTTTTGATTGAAATATAAATTTATATAATCAAAGAAACTAATTTCAGTTTTTTGTCATTTTTTCCACAGAATAACCGTTGAAAAAAGGAAAGAACAAAAAAGGTAAGAGCAATATGAAACTTTTATGTAAAACAAATATTTTCAAGAAGAAGTGTTCTGGCTTGCATTAAAGGCCCTTTATGTATAAAAGAATTGCGAAAAGTCTTCTGTAAAAGAAGCGTTCATCAAATTTGTTCTCGGTAAAGTCAACATGTTTTTAATGATAAAGAAGAATAACGGTGCTACCTAGTATGGAAGAGAGAGATTTTTGTAAAAAAGAAACAGCGATGCCAACTTAGTGCTTTTCGCGCTGTTTTTGGTGCTTTTTAGACCCCCCAAAACGCCAAAATAGTGGGCATAGCGCTTTTAGCGGGTTTTAGATTTTAAAATGTGGCAATGTTTATACATTCGAATATTTTGATAGTGTGGCAAGTTCTTTACAGGAAATTCTTTACGTGTCTTTCATTCCTGTCATTGAAGTTCTTTTGTTTACATGTAACTCTTTTTTAATTAAGGAAAATAAAACGAAGAATTGTGTGTATTATAAACCAATTAAAGGAAAAGTAAAATGAACGAGAAAAAAAAAGCGGATGTAATTTCTAATATGGAACTAAGTATAGATAATACATAGATCTGGATAAAAGGAAATGAGTTCAAAGATTCCATAGGGTAAAATCCCTTTCAAGATTTATCAGAATTCGTTATAAGACTGTTAAGCTTCTACTACTACTCAAATGCAGAAGTAGAAAGAGCATTCAGTGCTATGAATCTATATAAATCGAAAATCAGAAACAGATTATCCTTAAATTCTGTAAATTCTATTTTACATATTAAATATGGCCATCGTCGAGAGAATACGTGCTGTGACAAGTATAACGTTCCGTCAAATGTCTGTAAAAAATTTCGTATCTCTCGATCTTTTACACTCTATGCTAAGTTAGGTTAAGTCCTATTATCATAAGTAGTTCTTAAGGAATATTTTTATAATAAATTTTTTGTGTCTTACAATCACTCAAAAAAAGACGTCTTGTCTTTATGAAACTATAAATACCCGATTTACATTGGTCCTACGAGCCGGATCAGTGACCGACAAGGGAGAGAAGAAAGATGTGTTTTCTTTTTTTAAAAAAAAGGTCACTTTTATGAAAAAATATATCTCTCACGACTGTGGAGAGAAGAAATCTCCGCATAAATCTTGAAGAATTTGCCTTAACATCAAGTGATTTTTGTCTGCTTGGCTGAAAATTAAAAGTACAGGGTGAGTTAAAAAAAACTACAACAAAGTCAAACGCCATAATTTTTACATTTTTTTTAATTTTATTGAATGAAAGCAAAAAATGTCGGAAATAGCATCAAATTTTAGAATAAGTTTAGATTTGTTCGAATTGGTCACCTTTGGCACGAATTATGGCCCTCAAACGGCCAATGAAACCGTCACACGCTGCCCGAATGTTGCTCTGCGGTATTTTGGTCCATTCCCGGCGAAGTGCTTGCTTCAGGTGATCGAAACTTTGCTGAGTGCGATGGTGTTGAGTCCTGTTGGAATGTCCAAGGTCTGCATCCAAAATGTTTGCGTGCCCAAGGCTTTAATACACCTTCCAGAATATTTTCGCGATAATATTCGGCATTTATTCTGATGTTACGGTCGATTAATACGGGCGGAGAGCGACCATCGGCTATTATGGTGGCCCACACCATCGCCATGGTCAGCGCTTGAGTTCTGGTGGCCAACCGAAGGTGCACATTTTCAGCTGACCTCTTTGGCAAGTAAACACGCTGGGCAACGAATGTTTTCTCAACCCAAAATCGGCAGTTCACGACTTTCGGCCAAGCGAAACAACTCTGTAGCCCTTTTGAGTATATTTTCTTTCTGTTGCGGTGTAAGTTCTTGCACTTTTTGGAATTTCAATGGCTTTCCCCCTAGCACATTTTTCAATATTTGACGATTGGAATATTGCGATATGTTCAGCTCACAAGCCATTTTTCGGCCACTGCGATGCGGGTTTCGACCAAGTCGCTTCTTTACTTTTCGAACCATTTCTACTGATGTTGCTGTTTTCTTTCGTCCACTTCCTTGACGTCGGGCTACGCTGACCAGTATCACGGTAACGAGCGATGGTACGAGACACAAAAGATTTATTCACATTTAAATGCTGGAGTGCTCTAACGATAGCCACTTGTGGTTTTCCGGCCAAATATAAAGAAATCACACTATCACGCTTGAATTCCATCACAAATAACATTTTTTCTGGAAAATTATCACCAAAAAGCTTTTGTACGCTTGTAAATAATATAATGAGCTGTTACTGGAATAATTTTAACAGCTGTCGGACGAGTGGCTTAGCAATGACAATAGTCTGAATTTGGTTGCAGTTTTTTCATCTCACCCTGTATTATTGTCCAATACCCATACCTTTACTGGCACTAAGCTATTAAAAAAATTAAATTACTTTGACAATATCAGGATTTTAATAACCTTTAAATGATTAATTATCCCCAATAATTACATATTGACTTAATTACAATAGGTTCTGGTTAAATTGGTTGGTTTTTTTAACCGTACCAGACATTTTAATTTAAACCATTAACCTCTCCTCCCATTATAAGTGAACTTTTTTTTGGCAAATATTTAAGTTTGACTTTTGAAGGGTAGATTTCGTCAATAGCGATATGAGAATTGGTTTTCCTCCAAGTCTCGAAATATTTCTTAAAACTTGGCAGTTAATACCTTTGAAGTTAATAACCACTTACAAACCTAAAGTACATACAAATGTGTGTGTTTGTGTTCGAAAAACTTTGTGTTGGGAAATAAGTTGTCATTTCGAGTTATTCAGTTAGCCAGCCAAGCAGTGTTAACCGAAAAAAAAACAACAGCCATTGTTGACCCAGTTATAATCCATGTTGACTTTACGCCTTTTTAAACCTTCTAATGCGGCTTATGGGTAGCTGGTGTACATTTTTTCGCATTGACTTATCAACTATGAACAAAATACTTGAACACACAAAGCTACATACACACATACTCGTAAATGAATGACAAGTGCTTTGGCCAGCCTTTGGTTTGTTGGCTGGCTCGGCTATTTGGTAGTTTCGCTTGCATTTAGTTTAGCCATAAAATATACACCTGCCTCCAAAGGCAATCTGGTCAAACTTAGGCATTCACATGGCCAACACTGCGTTTGCGTTTGAAGAGAGGCCTAGCGGGGGGGAGGGTGGTTCAAACAATTTGTTTTTAATTTTACAATTAGCACATTAATATTAACCGATCAGTAGTGTGTAGTTATGGTTATAGTTAATGTTATGGTATTTGTATTGTCGGTTGTTATTGTTGATAACAATTACATGGATGGATTATAGCCATTAACTAGTTAGTTACTCAATGACTGGGAGTTATACTATAATATTAAGTGGAAAAAAGTTAAATTTTGAATGGCAGAACTAGTAAAGAGAGAGAGAGGGGGGAATATGTTAAAAAACTAGAGTACAGGAATGTCGAATAAGTAAATTCTTCGTAGTCAACATATTAGCCAATCAGAGGCTTACAATCGGCCAAATTTGTTTAATAAAACATAGTAAAAGAACACGCCGCCCTAAATTGTTTGCATTCTCTTAACTCTTTGGGCCCGATTTTTACTTGCCAAAAGGTCTATTTCATATACTTTTCATAATAAAAACTGAGAAAAATATATAAGTTTTCTGTGAAAATAAAACAATATTAGAAAACAATTAAAATGAAAATTTAGTTCATATATTCCGCCAAAAGATGCGGTCAAAATGTGCATCATCGAAATATGGGTCTAGATCCCATATCTCTCTGAACAAATGTTTTAAAGATAAAAAAGCTCCAAAAAAGACGAAATATTCATTTCTTAAATGGCGTCCAATATGAGGCCGCATATATTATCTAGATTTGAACACAAATATGTATGTTCCTATATTTATTTTTTATGTAGAAAATCTCCCTCATACCTAGACGATCTTCCTTATATGTATATAAGAGCTTTATGTGGTCCAAAGACCACTTTTACCTCATAAACCTTTTGAAAGAGGCAAATTTTCTAGATTATCTTGAGACGTATTTTCCACACGCGACCAAAAATGGAAAACCCCTCACAGGTTATATCGATAATAGATTTTTGAATATTTTATAAATTACAGGGTGAGATAAAAAACGGCAACAAAGTCAAATGCCATAATTTTTACATTTTTCTTTAAATTCTATTGAATGAAAGCAAAAAATGTCGGAAAAAGCATCAAATTTTAGAATAAGTTTAGATTTATTAGAATTGGCCATGTTTGGCCTTCAAACGGCCAATGAAACCGTCACACGCTGCCCGAATGTTTCTCTGCGGTATTTTGGCCCATTCCCGGCGAAGCGCTTGCTTGAGGTGATCGACATTTTGGTATTTTTTAGTGCCAACCTTGCTTTCCAAAATACTCCAGACACAATAGTCCAACGGATTGGTATCCGGAGATTTTGGTGGCCATTGTGCGTTGGAAATGAAGTGAGAAACCTCATTGTGTAACCATTCTTGGGTGTCGCGTGCTGAGTCTTTCTGTTGCGGTGTAAGTTCTTGTACTTTTTGGGGTTTCAATGGCTTTACCCCGAGATCATTTTTCAATATTTGCCGAATTTATATCTAGACGATTTTTCTTATGTGTATATATGGTGCTATAAAGACCTTATAAAGGCATGTACCACCTATACCTCATTGACCTTTTAAAAAAGGAAACTATTTTAAAATATCTTGAAATGTATTTTCCTTAGGCCTCCAGGAAAGGACGACCCTGTGCAGGTTCTATCGATAATAGATTTGTAACCTGGCATTCCACTCCAGTGCCCTTCTGAAGTTAATAGACTTTTCATATGTTTTTTTTTAGATATATTGCAAAGTATTCCTTATCTAAATGGCGCCCAACATGGGGCAACGATTTTTTAAAAAGGCCCCTTACACATTTTTCAATGATAGAATACTTTGCAGAATTTTTCTATATCTTTGCGAAGTCTACTTTGCAACAGAAATACTTTAAAGATAAAAAAAATTACAGCAGGTTTTATTGAA